TACACCCGTCCATCCTAACAAATATAATAACAATGCACATTAATATATCACAACCACAGTTCAACATATATCCAAATTCCAATTCAATAAATCACATATCCAATTCAAATGCAATAACATATTCAATATGTGCAAAGTAAGCACAACATTATATTTTAAATCTATTCATGCTAAATGGCATTTCTTAAGAGGAAACAATTAAAGAGAATTCATATCTAGTCATAAAGAGAATTCATATTTATTCATATCTAACTATATCCTTGCAAGAAGCACAAATTTCTCAACAATGAAGATATAGTACTAACCTTAAAAAGCCTTAATTCAAACCGAGGACCGATCTCCTTAAGCTCATTTCAAGGCCAACTTCACCTTATACAAAGACCTCCTAGTGTCAATTGAAGTAGACCAAATACACTTGTCAATTACAATGGGTAATGGAGTGGTGCAGTCGGTGCTATAAATCTCAGGATTGAAGAAAACCTATTAAAGCATTCAAAATAAATTAGCAGAGAAAAGGATTGAACACATGTATATGTGATGTGTATGTATATGTTGTTAAACAATGATCTTTTCTTTCTAGTGATGTGCTCCTCCATATAAGATTCAATCAAGTAATGATCCCTGAAGGCACAATTTCTTAACTAACATAATTTGCAATGGCTAGCATTCTCCTTGTTATATTAATGTTGAGTTTTCAATGGTTCATACTTCATAGTCTCTTAATTAACATAATTTGACATTTTTTTTAGCCGGGACAAATTTAAAAAACAATTGAAATATGAGTCTGCGGACTCTATCTGCAGTGCATAATCTGGGCTTATTTGATTCAAATAGTTGAGTTGTTAACAGTATCTTCCAAGTGCTAAAATTAACAGTGCCTTGGCCCTATATCAAAAATACAAACAGATTCTACGTCCTATACAAAATTGGGGGAAAAAAACCAATAGTCAACATCTTCCAAATGCTAAAGTTCGCAATTAAGGTCTTTTATTTTATTAAGGAGAAGTTAGGTTCATATCATTCTTTTTGCTACTTCATTGATTAAAATCCTATTCATTTTCAATTTTTGATCAATATCCTTGGGTATTAATAACATCATTAATTCTTTGAAAAATAAAATATTTTTATTTTTAAATATATTCCTTTAGTGTTAAAAATGTTAAAATTAGTATATTTATATTTATGGCTAAATTTTTTATCATATATTTTAGTTTGTACCTATTTTTAATTTGTACCAATTTTCTTTTTATTTTTAATTTGTACCCATATATTAGTTTCTTTTTGTGCCCATATTTTTTAAAGTTTTATTTGTGTTTGTACCCATGTGTACACCGTCACATGACATTGTATATTTAATCAATGATAGAAAAATTACATATGGTATATTTATGTTTTATGCCTAAACTTTGTATCATATATTTATATTTTTAGTTTGTACCCACTTTTAATTTGCAACATTTTTTTAAATTTTTAGTATTTTCTTTTTAGTTTTATTTTGTACCCATGTATTAATTTCTTTTAGCGCCTATATTTTTTAAAAATTCATTTGTACTCATAATTTTTTTATCTTTTATCTGTACCCTAATTGATTTATAATGTACTCATTCTTCTTTATTAATGTACCGCTTTGTTATATGTGAAATGTACCAATTGTTTTTGTAAAATGTACCATTTTTTTTAACACTATAGTTACATTCTTTTGCCATTTATTATTTCTTATTTTTACATAGTTTTTATCCATTTATTCAATCAAAATGTTTGAATTTTTTTTATTGTAACTGTTTCTAATAGTATTATAATGAGGGATTTTAAATTTATAGGATTATAAATCTCATAAAATATCAAACAATTAATGTCAAAACTATAAAAATATAAATATTAATTGTACTTGTAATATAATGAGGTGTACAAAGTCAAGGGATTTTGATCAAATGTTGAATATCATTAAGGTTTTAGTCAAAGAATGTTAAGGATTAGGGATTGCATCTAAAGTATCCCTTTTATTAATCATCCCACCACCATGAGGTTAAACAGTGAAGATAAACATTAAAGTTAACCCTATGAATCTTGTTAAAAAGTGAACAGGAAAGCACTTAAACGACGATAACAAAGAAAGCAATAAAATTATAAGTGCGGTTCAGCTGCATATTAATCAAACTTGATTTAAAATCCTTCTGGAATGCTTAATAACAAAGAAAGCAATAAAAGAAGAAGACTGACTGAGAAAAGCACAAAGGAAGAAAAGGAGATTCACACATGGACTTAAAGCAGCCTAAAGTATCAGACTTTAATCAGTTACATCTTTTGGGTTAACTTTATATTCTTGTTTGTAATCCGATTCGTGTAATATATGTCGAGGTTTCGAGCTGATGGCTTCGAACTGAGATCGTGGCAGTAAATTTTAGGCGTTGAAGACCAGTTTTGGAGCTATTGGGGTAAAAATCTGAAAACCCTAGCCTTGATTTAACTCCCTCTTGATTTTATGAGGCTATGCTATTTGTGTGAACTGTTTTTTTGGTTAATTTTTTAAGTAGGGGCAAATTTGTGGTGGGTTGGTTTTGAAATGGTGAATTTTTTCGTTCTTATTATACTTGTTGGGTTTAACAGAAACTAAATGAGATTTTATTTGGAAGTTACGTGAGTAAATATATGAAGGAGTGGCTTTCTTTTAGTTCGAAAGAGTGGAAGATAATTGAATTCGTTTAGAAGTGAGGTGTAGAAAGAGAGATTTTTTCAGTGCACTGGAAACACAGTCCGACACACCAAATGTCTTGATATAATTAATTGGTTGGACGCTTAAACATTTAAACTTCTCCTCAATTATGTTATGACATAACTAAGAGAGAATACGTACGATTTTCGACTCTTCGTATTTCGCCCTTGAAAAGGTTCACCAACCATATGAGCTTCGATTTTCAACTCTTATAAATGCGTTTAGTTTTATTATAGATCCTTTTCCTGTCCTGATATTTATCTGTTAGTTGTTGCTTCGTAATGGTTCTTTCTCTTTTGTTATTCTTTGCAGTGGAGAAGTTTTCCAGTTATACTCTTGATTTCCTGTATCAGTTCATCTCTCAAAGTTTCCAAGCAATGGCAGAGGACTGTGATTCTTCATCTTTGGTTCACCTCAATGTGGGAGGAAAGAAGTTTTCCACCACCGTCGGTACTCTAACTCAGCGTCAACCCGACTCCATGCTTGCTGCAATGTTTAGCGGTCGACACACTTTGCGCCAAGATAAGGAGGGATATGTTTTTATCGATAGGGATGGCAAATATTTTCGGCACATTCTTAACTGGTTAAGAGACGGTGAGATTCCTAAATTAGAAGCTTCCCAATATGCAGAACTTGTTAAGGAGGCAAGGTACTATCAACTACTAGGGTTAGTTGATGGAATACCTGATGTCCTGAACAGTAAGGAAGATAAGAAGTTGGATGCAGATTTACCCGTGCCGAGGTTATCAACTACATATATTCAATGAAGTGGTCTGGACGCATGGATGTGTGTGTGTCTAAGCCTTGTTTTCGAGGGGTTAATCTTTCTGGCCTTAATCTTTCAAAACTGGACCTGTCATATGTTGACTTCAGCTATGCATGCTTGAGACACGTGTGTTTTTCAGGTGCAAATATTAATGATTCTAATTTCAACTACGCTGATGCTGAAGGTGCTACCTTTGACAGTGCAAATTTGCGTAGTTCTACTTTTTATCATGCAAATCTTCGAGGAGCTTCTTTTGTGGGAGCTAAAAACTACGATCTCGTTGGGGCATCTTGCGTGGAAGATTGTAGGTACTGAAAGTTATCCTCGACAATGTCGATCATGTTAGAAGTGCTTTAGGGATGCTATTGGAATCTAATTTTTATTTTCTTTAATTTAAACCACTTGCAAAGGGTTGATGTATGTATAATATGACTTGTCCTATGTTTGGCTTTTTGTGACCTACCACAATGGTGTACCTCTAATTCATTGGTCACTATTTTGCAAGTTCGTTATTACAAGTAGGTCTTTGAAAGGATTTTAAGGTCTTTGAAAGGATTTTACTATCGACGTATACTACAAATGATTACCGCAATGACCGAAAGGTAATCATATATGTGTATTATATGGCTGGTTTGGTTCTAATATACCTTGTTATTAGAATATTAAACCAAATCCTAACTTTTAGTCACAACATCCATTCAATGATAAGGTATCTATCTTTTGTGTCAGTCCTGAAAATGACAAATAAACATTTAGTGTTACAACCCTTCCTCAATTTTATGGTATTTTAATTCCCAAATGTGGTAAATGACAAAATGCCTCTAATTGGATGAATGTTGACTTTCATTGACCATGATGGCGTGACACTTATAACTTATGTAAGCAAATTCCTGTAGTACTTGTCGTCACGAATGCGTGAGTGCAAACGGATTAAAATTAAAATTTGGTGCACGGGTAAAGTTTTAGGCTTCGAAGACCAGTTTTGGAGATATTGGGGTAAAAATCTGAAAACCTTGGCCTTGATTTAAATCCCCCTTGATTTTATGAGGCTATGTTATTTGTGTGAAGTGTTTTTCGTTGAAGAGTAAGTGAAAAGTAATTGGAATTGAAGGTGTTTGGTTAATTTTTGAAGTAGGAGCAGATTTGTGGTGGGTTAGTTTTGAAATGTTGAATTTTTTTCGTTCTTAAAGTGAATATTATGCTTCAGAAACTAAATGGGATTTTATTTGGAAGTTACACGAGTAAGTATATGAAGGAGTGGCTTTCTTTTCGTTTTTTTTTTTTTTTGGGAAACTGGGAATAAAATTATCAGGGCAAGGATGTCACAACATTACAGGAAGCCTACACCGAGGCAAGCAACAACTGACCAATAAAAAACCAAGCAGCGAAGGGAGTAAGGAGTGAAGATGCTAGAACAGAGTTCGAGCATCGCCCCCTCCATTACAATAAAAGTCTAAGGTGGACAAGGTAATCCATATCATTATTTAAAACAAAAACCAACGAAGATGGAGGTCTATTGACCTATATGACATTGCACATGTCCGTATTGCTGTGCGACGCCAACCTGTCCGCAGCCAAATTGGCCGATCTTGGCACCCAAGACCAGCGACATCCCTGGAAAGACTCTTGTAACCTTAGAACATTTGCCAAGGTAGGAAAGGCTTCCCATCTGCCATTGTCCAACGAACTTGATAAGCTAGAAATCAACTCCTTAGAATCGGATTCCACAATCACCCACTGATGGCCCAAAGCAATAGCCAGCTCACATCCTCGTAAAATAGCCATGGCCTCCGCCGATACAACATTAGGAGTCTGGATTGCATACCGAGCTGCAGCCACAAACTGACCCTCCACATCACGTATCACAACCCCAACATAACCATTCCTTGTCGACTTCTGCCAACTAGCATCTACATTCACTTTCAGATAGGGAGAAAAAGAGGGAGACCAATGTGCCACAGGAGCAACCGTGCGTGATACATTCATTAATGGAGGAGGAGCCCGATTAGCTTCATTGAAAACAGCAGAATAATTTGAGATAGCAAGGAGCACCTGGGTAGGATCGAGTGCTTATTGGTTGAATAGAAAGTTGGACCTCGCTTTCCAAATATACCAACAAGTAAATGCCACATGCGAAAGCACAAACCCTTGATCCTCCTTAGACCCAAACTGCCGCGATGCAATGTAATGAAGCCAAGCCGCCCAAGAAGTAATCCTATGTCTGTCCACCTTATAATTGAGCACCCCACCAAACCAAATAGTCTCCACCCATGGGCATAATAGCATAATAACAGGTGGTGCTCAATAGACTCCTCATAACAGTTGCATATCGGACACATCGGGGAGGGGGAACATTTCCTTTTGAATAAATTCTCCATCATTGCCAGAGCTCCATGTAATGTGCGCCATATAAAGTTACGAAGCTTTGGTGGGGTTTTTAATTTCCAAACCGAATACCGTGCCCAATGGTATCCGAACCTAACCGAATACATACCAATCTTGGTAGATGGCCAGACAAGTCGATCATTCCACCTAGGTTCCCCAATATGCGTTGCCAAAATAGCATAGAGTGGAAGACAATTGAATTGGTTTAGAAGTGAGGTGTAGAAGGAGTGATGTTTCAGTGTAACGGGAATACGGCCGTATGCCAAGTGTAATGACATAATTGGAGGAACATAAAAACAATTAAACTTCCTCCCCAATTATGTCATGACACTCCAAGCTGTGTTCCTGGTACACTGAAATATTTCTCATGTAGAATAAATGTTTTATGCTTTACGATGAAGGAAAGGAAAGTGGAAAGAAAAAAGGCAGATTCTGTCCAATCACCACACAAGGCAAAAGAAAGGCAAGAAGAAGAGCAAATCTCGTCGGAAAACTCCAAATTCCGGCCAAAATCCTTGGAACCTTAAGCCTGTTGGAGAACATTTCAGAAAATAAATAAAATAACATAATTGAAATACTAATTCTTTATTAACGAAATATACTTGCAATACAAAATGAAATAACCGAAATAAACAAGAATTAAATTGATACTAACTTGGTTGAATCACAGATAGAGACTAGTGCAAAAGCTATGTCTTTCGAACAATATTTCCGTCTCACTCTTATGCTTGTGGTTCTACGAAGTCTGCCCGACCAACATACAACTATCTAATTCTACAACCCGCACCGGATTATAGAATTATGGCGAATTGCTTTGTATGTTTACTTTCTGTAAGGTTTTGTACGGAAGAGATGGGAAAATGAAAGATGACTTACGAAGGAATTGAGACTTTAGTTATATAGGCTCTTTCATACCTCCTTAAATACCTTTTGAATGTATCTAAAACCACACAACTTTGTGTCAAAACGTTTTTAATTAATTTAATTCAAAATTACAATTAATGAATTCTGATTAATTTTAACTTCTTAGGCCCCAAGGCCAAGGTCTTGTCTATTATGGTATAATCATCAAGCTTAATCCACACAATTAGTGGCCAAAACCTCAATCCTCATTCCAAATAGTTCAACACCTAATCACTAATATAGGTGACTAACTTAATATAAGGACCCCAAGTTCCCTTGAGTTCCCCGATGTGGGACTAAAGGAGCTCAAAACTCCAACAAAGCCAAGAGATAAGTTTAATCCTTTTCTCATGGGTTTCATTTCTATGTAAGTGGTTCCTTGAATTCGTCACATACAGATTTGGGTTAACTTTATATTCTTGTTTGTAATCCGATTCGTGTAATATATGTCGAGATTTCGAGCTGATGGCGTCGAACTGAGATCGTGGCAGTAAATTTTAGGCGTCGAAGACCAGTTTCGGTGGTATTGGGGTAAAAATATGAAAACCCTAGCCTTGATTTAACTCCCTCTTGATTTTATGAGGCTATGCTATTTGTGTGAACTGTTTTTTTGGTTAATTTTCGATGTAGGGGCAGATTTGTGGTGGGTTGGTTTTGAAATGGTGAATTTTTTCGTTCTTATTATACTTATTGGGTTTAACAGAAACTAAATGAGATTTTATTTGGAAGTTACGTGAGTAAATATATGAAGGAGTGGCTTTCTTTTAGTTTGAAAGAGTGGAAGATAATTAAATTGGTTTAGAAGTGAGGTTGTAGAATGAGAGATTTTTCAATGCATTGGAAATACGATCCGGTATACCAAGTGTCATGACAAAATCGGTTGGACGCTTAAACATTTAAACTTCTCCCCAATTATGTTATGACATAACTAAGAGAGAATACATACGATTTTCGACTCTTCGTATTTCGCCCTGGTATTGAATATGTTCACCAACCCTATGAGCTTCGATTTTCAACTCTTATAAATGCGTTTAGTTTTATAAGAGATCCTTTTTCAGTCCTGATATTTCTCTGTTAGTTGTTGCTTCGTAATGGTTCTTTCTCTTTTGTTGTTATTCTTTGCAGCGGACAAGTTTTCCAGTTTATACTCTTGATTTCCTGTATCATTCATCTCTCGAAGTGTCCAAGCAATGGCAGAGGACTGTGATTCTTCATCCTTGGTTCACCTCAATGTGGGAGGAAAGAAGTTTTCCACCACCGTCGGTACTCTAACTCAGCGTCAACCCGACTCCATGCTTGCTGCAATGTTTAGCGGTCGACACACTTTGCGCCAAGATAAGAAGGGATATGTTTTTATCGATAGGGATGGCGAACATTTTCGGCACATTCTTAACTGGTTAAGAGACGGTGAGGTTCCTAAATTAGAAGCTTCCCAATATGCAGAACTTGTTAAGGAGGCAAAGTACTATCAACTACTAGGGTTAGTTGATGGAATACCTGATGTCCTGAACAGTAAGGAAGATAAGAAGTTGGATGCAGATTTTACCCGTGCCGAGGTTATCGACTACATATATACAAAGAAGTGGTCTAGAGGCGTGGGTGGTTGTACGTATTATTTTCGAGGGGTTAATCTTTCTGGCCGTAATCTTTCAAAACTGGACCTGTCACATGTCAATTTCGGCTATGCATGTCTGAGAAACGTGTGTTTCTCAGGTGCAAATATTCAAGGGTCTAATTTCAACTACGCTGATGCTGAAGGTGCTACCTTTGACAGTGCAAATTTGCGTAGTTCTACTTTTTATCATGCAAATCTTCGAGGAGCTTCTTTTGTGGGTGCTAAAAACTACGATCTCGTTGGGGCATCTTGCGTGGAAGATTGTAGGCACTGAAAGTTATCCTCGACAATGTCGATCATGTTAGAAGTGCTTTAGGGATGCTATTGGAATCTAATTTTTATTTTCTTTAATTTAAACCACTTGCAAAGGGTTGATGTATGTATAATATGACTTGTTCTATGTTTGGCTTTTTGTGACCTACCACAATGGTGTACCTCTAATTCATTGGTCACTATTTTGCAAGTTCGTTATTACAAGTAGGTCTTTGAAAGGATTTTATTATCGACGTATACAATACTGCAAATGATTACCGCAATGACCGAAAAGTAATCATATATGTGTATTATAGGGCTGGTTTGGTTCTAATATACCTTGTTATTAGAATATTAAACCAAATCCTAACTTTTAGTCACAACATCCATTCAATGATAAGGTATCTATCTTTTGTGTCAGTCCTGAAAATGACAAATAAACACTTAGTGTTACAGCCCTTCCTCAATTTTATGGTATTTTAATTCCCAAATGTGGTAAATGACAAAATGCTTCTAATTGGATGAATGTTGACTTTCATTGACCATGATGGGATGACACTTATAACTTATTATGTAAGTAAGTTCCTGTAGTACTTGTCGTCACGAATGCATGAGCGCAAACAAATTAAAATTAAAATTTGGTGCACGAAAGATAAATTTATAAACTTTCTAAATCAAAGGGTAATTTAGTAATTTCGAAGAAACTTTCTAAATCCAATCAACTTGCATCTTCGTCTTCCCTGCGTGTAGAACCAGCTGTACCCAGAAGTACAGCCGCTGTTTCTTCATTTCCTTCTCCGTTTTGCTCTCCCAAACTCAAATCTTCACATCTCCTTCATTTGGTCACCGTTTTCGACAAGTCTTATATCAAAGTCTAAGCCCTCGTCGAGCCCAACGCGTTTTGTAACCTCGATTCCCCCCCCCCCCCCCCCGCCCAAAAAAAAAAAAACCACCACACAAGGCAGAAGAAAGGCGAGAAAGGGAGCAAATCTCGCCATAAAACTTCAAGTCCGGCCAAACTCATCGGAACTCGACCTTAAGCCAAGAGAGAAGTTTAATCCTCTTCTCTTCGGCTTCATTTCTACGTAAGTGGTTCCTTAAATTTGTCAATTACAGATTTGGGTTAAATTTAGATTCTTGTTTTTAATCCGACTCGTCTAATTTATGAGGCTATGTTATTTGTGTGAACTGTTTTCGTTGAAGATCATGTGAAAAGTAATTGGAATTGGAGGTGTTTGGTTAATTTTCGAAGTGGGGGCAGATTTGTGGTGGGTTAGTTTTGAAATATTGAATTTTTCCGTTCTTGAAGTGAATATTTTGCTTGTTGGGTTTAACAAAAACTAAATGGGATTTTATTTGGAAAGTTACGTGCGTAAGTATATAAAGAATTGTCTTTCTTTTAGTTTGGAAAAGTGGAAAATAATTGAATTTGTTTAGATGTTTCAGTGTTATGAGAACACGGTCCGGTACAGCAATTGTGATAACTTGATTGGTTACACTAGTTAGACTATCATCAAAGGAGATGTCAAACCTAAGTGGAATGTCATGTAATCAAATTTGAAAGTAAGATTAAGCTCCAACCGATATGTCAATCCTATATGGATTGACATATGAGTTTTCATATGTCAAATTTGACGTATGAGAAAATGTGATGTCAAATAATTTTTAATTATTATATTATGTAGACCCCATTAATGCACCAATTATATATTTGAAAATTTTATTTTAATTGATTTCTTTTTAAAACGGGTCTACAAATATCATTTATAACAAAAAAAACATATCGGTTAGAAAAAGAGAAAATCTGACATTGCCACATCAGCCGTCAAATTAACATTTGACATCTCTTTTGGAGATGCTCTTACGGCTAGTGTATGATTATATTATTTAGCTTACATTAGCTACGACTAGTGTATGACTACAATTTCAGCTTACACTGGTCACCACTAGTATATGGAATTATATGCTATACCACCAAGTATCAATTTAGTATATATGCATGTATCGTTTTTTAGTTTCTATGACATGCTTAGTTTTCAAAACAAGAGGGTTATTATGTTCAGAAAACAAAATGTTTGAAAAAACTTTATTCTTCGTCCATACACACTTTTTTTTTTTTGTGCCCCTCAGTGCTTAGTGGCAGAGATTATTTTGACGTTGAGGCAAACTTGCGACATCTATGATCAGTTGCCATCGAGCAGGACTACTCCCTTATGTATATGCATGCACATTATGGTTATGTCATCTTCAGGGTGACGGCCAACACACTTCGATTTCAGTGTCTATCTTGACATCACGTCATTTAATGTTAACCATTCTTCATGACTGAATTTTATAGTAACAGTAGCCCTTGTGACTGAATCTCTGTCGGAGATGTATAAGGTAACAATATTTTCAATCGTAGGTATTCTCTTCATTTATTTTCCAAAAAAAGTCATGTCATTTAAATGTTCATATCAAAGGGGTGAAATATGCGAGATTTTTCATTGTGCCCAGAACACGGACGCATGCGTGTTGTTACTGATAATAACTAAGAGAGAACACATACGATTTTTGACTATTCTTATTTCGCCCTTGTATTGAATCACTAAACCTAGGAGCTTCGATTTTCGACTTATAAATACGTTTAGTTTTACAAGAGATCCTCCTCCGGTACTGATATTTCTCCATTAGTTGTTGATGCGTAAATGTTCTTTTTCGTTTGTTGTTATTCTTTGCAGCTGACAAGGTTTCAAGTTATACTCTAGGCGATTTTTTTATTTTTTAAAATTTTTCGTATGCGATTTTGATATTGTAATTCTCACTCTTAATTTCCTGTATCAGGTCATCTCTCAAAGTTTCCAAGCAATGCCAGAGGTCTACGATTCTTCATCCTTGGTTAACCTCAATGTGGCAGGAAAGAAGTTTTGCACCACCGTCGGTACTCTAACTCAGCGTCAACCCGACTCCATGCTTGCTGCAATGTTCAGCGGTCGACACACTTTGCGCAAAGATAAGAAGGGGTAGTTTTCATCGATAGGGATGGCGAACATTTCCGGCACATTCTTAATTGGTTAAGAGACGGCGAGATTCCTAAATTAGAAGATTCTCAATATGCAGAACTTGTTAAGGAGGCAAAATACTATCTACTATTTGATTTAGTTGATGGAATACTTGATGTCCTTGATAGTAAGGAAGATACTGCGTCGTATGCAGATTTTACACGCACCGACGTTATCAAGTACATACATTCTCAGAAGTCGTGTAGATGCTCGTCTAATAAGAATTATCTTCAAGGGGTTAATCTTTCTGGCCTTAATATTTCAAAATTGGACCTGTCAGAAGTTAACTTCAGCTCTGCATGTTTGAGAAATGTGAGTATTTCAGGTGCAAATCTTCAGTCTGCTAATTTCAAACATGTGGATGCCGAAGGTGCTACTTTTGACGATGCCAATTTGTGTGGTTCTACTTTTTATGGTGCAAATCTACGAGGAGCGTCTTTTGTGGGTGCAAATCTACGAGGAGCGTCTTTAATGGGTGCAAAAAACTTCGATCTCTACGATCTCTCTGGGGCATCTGGCGTCGAATATTGTAGCTTCTGAACGTTATCCTCGACAGTGTTGATCATGTTAGAAATGGTTTTGGGAATCTCCTTAAATTTCATACAAATGAGACCGATGGATTATGCAAGGGCGTAAGCCAACTTCATCTCTCAGGTTCTACAAGATTTGATTTCTCAATAGCTCCCTAGTCATTTAGTGGTTAATGTACGACTTATGTCCTGTATTTGAGACCAACCACACTGGTCTCTATTTTGCAAGTTTGCTATTACAAGTAGTTCTTTGCCAGGGCTGTCTCTGAGATTTCAGGGCTTGTGCTAATGTATGATCTATTTATGTCCTATATTTGTGATCGACCACATTGGTGTACCTCCAATGCATTTGTCTATATATTGCAAGTTTGTTATTACAAGGTAGTTCTTTGGTAGGGTTGTTTTTGAGATTTGAAGGCCTGAGCTAATGTATGATCTATTTATGTCCTATATTTGTGATCGACCGCATAGGTGTACCTCCAATGCATTGGTCTCTATTTTGCAAGTTCGTTATTACAAGTAGTTCTTTGAAACGATCTTACTAATGACGTATATAATACTGCATATGACGCTTTATTACAATGACAAAAGGTAATTGTGTTTACGCATCATGGTAGGTTCATCTCCATTTCTCTTTTCTCTTAACAACTAACTAATTAACTCACTAACGTTATCACTATACTTAAAAAATGACAAATACAAAACCTTAACTCTCGATATAAATGCTACTTAGTTGGACCACCTAATCAAGATGATTTGAAAGTTTAAGCCCCGGCCCAAAGTCAGCATTTTTCTTTCTTATTTTATTTCGCAAATGCTCTTGTGCGCTAGGCCTAGTGCGCTGCTTAGATGCGCCATATAATTTCACTGTCATATCAAACATGCACGGTTGAGATTAGAATGCTACAAAGAGTTTTGCGTAGAGTCTGGTTAAGTGAAACCCTAGTTGGCGAACTCATCTCTCTCTCTCTCTCTCTCTCTCTCTCTCTCTCATCATTCTCTTCAGTTTTAGATTTCTGATTTTTCTTTTCACCTAATTTTCAATTTATGAGTTACTACAGATAATTCGAGTCGAAAGAACTTCCAACATATCATCAAATAATCGAGTTCCATTTCAATTAGGAGATCCTCAAAATAATAGTACCCAAGATTCATAGTATAACTTCAATTAGCAATGTCATTTGCTACTATGTTATTTTCTTGATAGATATGCACTAACTCGCATTTAGCTATTGTGTGCCATAAATTTGTCACTGATAAATAATGCTGTCAAGAGAATAAGAGCTTGTATCTCAACTGCAAGTTTCAATTATTTTTTTTATTTTATAATTTTCATTAAACATGATTGTCGAGCGCGGTAAGGATTTCGCGAACGTTTTCGGATATTTTTCTGTTAAGTGACAATATTCATTACGAAAGAATGATATATTGCAGAACATGACGTGGCGGGCTCGGACGCAGACAACACATTTTTGGCAAAGGATCCAACGATAGATAGAAATCTGAATAGGACTGATCAAAACAAATAAAAAACAATGAAAAGGCTTTTGGTGCGTG